GCTCTGGACATATAACCTTACCATCAGAAATTGCACTGAAAATACCACTTCATGTTTTATGTGGCATGAGGGGTTGTCAGACCGTGGATCAGATCAAGTTGCTGCTTGTCTTTTAAAATACCTTGACAGCTTAGTTGATACAGTTGAAAAAGTTGTTCTATATTCGGATTCTTGTCCCGGACAAAACAAAAATAACATTGTTGCAGGAGCACTGTCTTTATTTGTTTATAGATCAACAACCATAAATGAAATACAACACAAGTTCCTAGAAGTGGGTCATACTAGAATGGAATGTGATGCCGACCATGCAAGAATTGAGCGTGCCAAAAAATCGACACAAATTGAAATAAGGATACCTCATGACTGGTACCAGTTTGTTGGAACTGTCCCCGGTAAGAAGAAGTTCCAGGTTATCGAAATGCAGAGGAAAAATTTTCTAGCGTATTCAAAACTTTTCCATAATATCTATGTAAAGCATGATAAAGGTGTGGATAATGACAATGTGAAATGGCATGATATAAAAGTTCTACGTTTTGGTAAAGAGTTGGGTGTTACAGACATTAAATATGCACATAAAGGTCTTGACGTTTCTACCCTTAATATTAAACGCAGAGGGCAGCAGATGCATCCTACATTAGAACCTGTTTATAGTGGACCTAAACCCATAAAACATCAAAAAAAGGAAGACTTGCTTTTCCTGCTGCAATACCTTGATCCAGTGTACCATCCATTTTACCACGGACTCAAGACTAGTGAGAATGTAAATGATGGAATTTAATGTTTTATTTTTAAATGATAAACATTGCTTTTTATGTAGATTGATAACAGTGAACAATAAAAATAATTTTGCTAATTGTTATTACTCATTTCAAAGAGATTTATACTGAAGTTTAAATTTAGATATTCAATAAATTGGTGAATTTTACATTATTTTATAAATTGATTAAAAGTAACCATCTTTATTAAATATCAAGTTTTAATTTCAGTATAAATCTCTTCACTTTCTACTTTGTAATTATGATATTCACGTATTTTATATACTTCACTTTGACATGATATGTGTATATATGCCATCTAAGATATTTGCCAAAACATGATATGTTAGTAAAATCATTTTTCACAATGGAATTTCCAAAATTAATGTACACTGTTAGTTTAAGCAGCATTTTATTTATTTATATACGAAATTTCATAAAAATATAATAAAATTTGAGCGAGTAAAAAATAAAAACAAATTGTCATGAGGTTATATATTTTTAATTTCGCTCTACTGAAAACTATTTGATATATCAAGTTTTGGCAAATAGCCACAGAAATAAAATGAATCAATTCGCACATGTGTGCTCGTTGTTGGTTTTATCGCTTTTCATGGATCGAGATAAGTATGCCACCAATACGATGTAGATATATTTTCAAGGATCTGTACGCGTACGGTACGTACACCGTTTGGCTCGCATATCTTTACGCACCGTAAGAATTGCAAGGCAAAACGGACGTTGATAAAGATGTTAATAGCGACATGGGAAATCTAAAATTTGAATTCCACAACATATCTCCTCAACTAAGTAAAAACCCTTAGCGAATTGGTTTCTAGTACTCGTACAGAGTAAATCAGAATAAAAAGAAAAAGACAGTTAAGATTTGATTTTACGTATAGTGCGTCTGTGCATCCGCTTATACGTATTTCGACCTAATAGGCCTCGTCAGAACAGTTTTTTGGAAGCCTGTTTTCTTGCATCCTAAATACATGACCTCACAATGAAGACTCTGTAGGGCAGCCATACTGAGATAAAGGGTAATCTGAATATGTTATATTTTATAATTATACTTGATTCGCCACCTTTTATTCTCATTTATAGGTCCTAGTATTTATCTATGTACTTTTTTCAAATATGTTTTAAGTTAAGCATGCAATTTAAGTTTTGTATATGTACTCTCACTGGCTGCTTTGATTCTGATCATGATATTGATGTCATCTGCATATAATACCTCTTGAACTGGTTCATTAATAAGTCTGTTATGTTAATTTTACGATATGTTTCAGTTTAACAAATGTTTGTGTCAGTTCATCACCCTGTTTTGCGTTATTTAAAATGGGTCTGTCATGTTATGTTGACTCTGTATCTGTGTCCATCGTCGTCTTTCTAATAAGCCAAACTAATTTGTACGGTTTTTTAAAGTCACTTAATATTTTGTATTACCAGTTTGAGTCAAATGTCTGTTTAAAGTTAACGAAAATGTAAGACCTGCTTAACCGTGAATAGTTGGTCGATGGTTGATCTTTATTGCCTAAATTCTGACTGATATACTCCGATGATCTTCTCTGTGACAAAGTTGTAATCTATGGTCAAGTATATTGGTAATTATTTTCGTTATTTTCCTTTCTTTCAACTTAAATTCTGTGCATATTTTATTACATTCAGGGGTCTTGTTAATTTTCTTCAGTTTGATTGCCCTTTCAACTCCTGCTCGTGTCCAACCGCCCTCTTCTGTCGATTATGATTAAAATATGGTTTTTAAGTTTCTTTAATTTTTTTATCGCCGTTTTTATTTCTACAAAGATTCTTCTCTAGTTTAAGCGCCGTCTTCCAATCGGAGGTTGAATATCATCTTTTATCTTTTACAAAGTTTATTTTTATATCTAATAACTCTGTGTCGGCTACTGTTTACACATATAATTATTATTTCTTTGGGTGATCTCTCATCTCGTCATTTTTCCTTTCTTTAGTTTCTAATATAGATTTTGCTGTCGTTAATACAGTACTACTTATTAGGTTTCACTAATTTTGTAATGGCCTCTCTTCTTTTTTTCATATTCAGCTTTCCCTTTATCTCTTTTTGAAATGTCTTTTAAGTTTTGGGTCTTTTCAGTTTTCTTAGATCTAGCATTTTCTTGGTTGGTTGATTCTCATTTACCTGTTGGCTGATTCTATATATAAAGTATACCTAAACTAGTAGGTGATCTGAGCTGCAGCATGCACCTTGTCTATAATTTTTTTAAGTGCAGAATGCTTGTTGTTGATCGCTTTTCTATCACAATGTGGTCTATCTGGTTCACAACATCTCCTCCAGGGACTATAGAGGTACCTTTGTGTAAGTTTTTGTGAGAAAATATAGTAAAACTGATCAATATGTTTTCACTAGCTTCAAAGTAAATAAGATATTTGCCGTTTTCATTCGTGTCTCTATCTACGCTGTTCCTTTCAATTATTCTGATGTATACTTTTTCAGTTACTAACTTTGTGTTTGATGAACTATTTTGATGTCGTTTTTACGTGTTAGGTCATACGTTTGCTCTAGTAATTAGTAAAAAGCTATTTTAATGTTCTTACCTAATTCATTCGTTGGAGAGTAAATGTTTATTATGGATAAGTTACAAAAGTAATCTTTATTATTATCCTAAACATTCGTTTACGAATTGCTTAAAAATCTGTTATGAAGTGTTTTTTTGATATCTACTATAATTTCCACCACAAATTCCTTATTTCTTGTATCTAAACCACCTGAAAAAACGGTGTGAGTTTTTGTGTCCCGGATACTTTTCCGTATCTATCTTGTTTCTTGAATCTCTGCCAAACCAATCTGTTATTTTTTCAATTCATTGAGCAAGGCACTTAACGTTTCTATTAAAAATTACAAATCCAAAAATAAAAATCCTTGTTTTGTTGGTAATATCGTTGCATCTCAATAAATTAAGTCAAGCTCAATAACCTGCTATATGCAGATGATACAATAGTGTTTTCAAATACCATAGAAGGGCAGCAAAACTTAATGAACATGATAACAGAAACAAGTAGAAAATATGGACTAGATATAACCACCAGCAAAACCAAGCTAATGATCATCAGCCAGGAAAACATAACTGGAGCAAATCTGTATGTGAACTAAATAAGAATTGAACGTGTCTCACAATACAACTACTTGGGAACTATAATCAATGAGTCGTGTGACAATACCCAAGAGATTAGATGTCGCACAGGAAAGGGAAAAAGTGCATTCTTGACTATGAGCTCTGTGTTCAAGAGCCATGACCTCACCCTAGAAACAAAAATAAGGCTCCTTAAACGTTATATGTACTTAGTGCTTTTGTACGGAGTAGAAACATGAACGTAAAGGGGAAATTCTATTAAAACTTCAGGCTTTTAGGCTGTGGCTATACAGAAGGATCCTGAACCAATGAAGAAGTACTGCGGAGGATGAACACAACTGCGGATTTCGTCAACATCGTGGGCCGTAAGCTGCAGTATTTGGGATATGTAATGGGAAATCAAGGCAGATACGAACTATTTCAATACATTGTGCAAGCTAAAAGTGAAGAAAAAAGGGCCCCAGGACAAAGAAGAATATCCAGGCACCCAATGAAGAAGATCGTTGTCTTAACATTCGTTCATTCCGAGTCGTCTTTGCAGGTTTAGCAGTAATGACTTTTTGTCCGGAGTTAGGTTACTAGCTGTGTGACCGACACTGGTAATTACTAAGCTATTAGCTTAGCTTTATTTGTAGTATTACTTTTCACCTTTGTTCTTTTCACTTCGTCTCTTAAAAATGTAAGCAATACTATAACTATTTTAAGCGCATCTATAAACTCCATACCACCTGCAAAAATTCCAAGACTCCGATTTTTCTAATGTGTATTGGTTTTTTCCTTGAAATAGTACTCACCCGAAAATTCGAACGAAGACTCTGTTTTTCTGAAATATTTTATCGAGGATGCCATTATTCCAGTATAAATTTTAATATGGTAAAAAATGCCTTAAGACTCTTTTCTATCGGCACATCTTCTGTGAGTATTTGATGCAAGATAAGTGCATTATTACAACGTACCGGTTTTCATTTTTTTATAAAGACCAGAAATTCTCCTGTAATTACTGTTCTCTCAATCAATGAATTACTGACTATATCCCACCACTAGCAAGCACGTATTTTATATGAGTTTAAGTTAATACGTATAATAGATTATTTTGAAGAACTAGTACCCTAATAACTTATTTATTTTTTAGCTATTGTTCCTCACCTAGATGGAAGAATTGTTGGAGGAAAAGATGCTAATATCACCGCATTTCCTTATCAAGTATCTCTAAGGAGGTCATCGCAGCATGCTTGTGGGGGCTCCATATTCCATCCCTTTTATATCTTAACTGCTGCACATTGTGTGTCAAAGTAACAAAATATTTATATCGATTAAACATTAGTGTAATACATATTAAATTTTAGTACTGCAAGAACTTACACGATTAGAGCAGGAAGTAATTATATTAACCAGGAAGGAACGGTAATGAAAGTTTGCTCTGTTTATGTACACCAAAACTATAGTGCCGATACTATGATTAATGATATTGCAATTTTAAAAGTAAGTAGTGATTTTTTTTAATATCGTAATTTTAATTGTTTAAGAGGTAATATTTTGTTGTTCGTCGCACCTATTCTAATCCTAATCTTTATTAAGGTGCTACAGCTTTTAAAAGTTTGCTTGATAAACTTTAATTTTAAACACCAACAGTCTTTACATCCATTCACTATTATACTCCATCTATTTTTTACAAAGAAAACCCTAAAGCAGCTTAGTACAACCCAAAGAGCGATGGAAAGGGCCATGCTAGAAATTAGTTTGAGAGACAGGATTCGAAATATCGAAATTCGGGAAAGAACAAATATTACTGAAGTCGCACAATGCAGACACAGAAAATAACAGACTGAAAACCAAGAGAGAACAGCCGAGGAGTAGGTAGACTACAGAAGAGGTGGGCAGATAATATCAAACAAGTTGTTGGCAAGCAGTGGATGAGAATTTCTAAGAGTAGAAATCAATCTAGAAACGAGAGAGGGGAACGTCTCATACGCTTCTGTCAGGAACAAAAACTATTGATAACTAATACTTTTTTTAAACTGCCCCCTCGCAGACTTTACACCTGGAAGTCGCCGCCAGCAGACTCGAAAGAAACAAATGTAAGAAACCAGATTAACTTCATTGCCATACCAGAAAGATTTAGAAACTCAATCACATCAGTGAAAACCTATCCCGGGGCTGACGCTCAATCGGATCACAACCCAGTGGTGTGTAAACTGGGAATCAAACTAAAACGTATAGAAGGGAAGCCTAACAAAACCAAGATAAACATTAGGAAATTAAAGGATCCCAACATTAAACATAAAGTACAGGAATCCTTAAGAAGAAACATTGGAAACTTGAGTGAACCCGCACAAGACGCAGTTGCTAAATGGGAAGAAATAAAAGGAGCTCTTGAAATGACACTTATGTTACAGGAGCGCGTAAAGAAGAAAGAATGGATGACGGATGAAATCCTTGATAGGATGGAAGAAAGAAGACAACACAAATGCAAAAATCAAGTGAAGTATCAAGAAACAAGTCACAATATAAAAACAAAGATAAAGGAAGCGAAGGAACGCTGGCTGAAGGAGAAATACGATTGAAATCGAAGAGTGCGACAGAAGATATGACTACTACAACATGCACAAATAGATTAAAGAATTAATAACTAAAAAGAAAACCAATAATCCCCACCCGACACTAATAGACGCAGACGGTAACCTTATATCAGACGACTTGAAGCTCATTGACACATGGAAAGATTACGTAGAACGACTTTTTAACGATAAACGCAGAGCGACAGTGGATCAAGATGACGACATAACTGGACCCGAAATACTAACGTCTGAAGTGGAAAAAGCCATTTCATCGCTAAAAAACGACAAAAGACCAGGTCCCGACAACATACAAGGCGAGATCATAAAACTTCTATGCGAAACGGATGACCACTTCCTCGATTTTCTGACAGGCCTTTTTAACACTTTTTACGACAAAGGAGAGATTCCGGAGGAATGGCTTCGATCGACTACAAAGGTAGCCATACCTAAGACACCAAGTGCAAAACACTGTGATCAACACCGCTTAATAAACTTGATAAATCACATTACCAAAGTTTTCACCAAAATCATACACAGTAGAATATTATAACAAATGCGAAGCAAATATATCGGAGTCACAGTTCGGATTCCGAAGCGCATTGGGCACAAGAGAGGCGATCTTCAGTCTGCAAGTTTTAATTCAAAGATGCAGAGACATACACAAGGACGTCTACTTGTGCTTCATTGACTTCTCCAAGGCATTTGACAAAGTCAAACATGATAATCTCATGGGAATGCTCAGGAAGATGCATATTGATGGCAATGATCTGCGCATACTAACCAGTCTCTATTAGAACCAAAGTGCTGAGATAAAGATGGGCAACTTACACAGTGGGAAGATAGATATTAAAAAGGGTGTACGACAAGGATGCTTCCTTTCGCCGCTCCTGTTCAATATATACTCTGAACAAATCTTCAGAGAAGCACTGGGAGAAGTTTCGGAGGGTATCAAAGTAAACGGAGAAGTAATCAATATTATTAGATATGCTGACGACACAGTTATTATCGCAAAAACGAGCTTCAAAGACTTATGCAAAGCATACACACAGCAAGTCAAGAATATGGTTTAGAACTTAATACAACCAAAACTAAATGCATGCTCATCAGCAGAACACAACAACCTGATGCAATTGACATTAAACAACCGAAAAATAAAACAAGTGGAGACATACACTTACACATACCTTGGTACCACAGTCAACACAAAATGGGACCAGTCAACAGAAATAAGATCACGAATTGAAAAAGCGCGAAACGCGTTCAACAATATGAAAAAGTGGTTCACAAGCAAAATCTCAATGAAACTAAAATTAAGACTGGTCAAGTGTTATGTCTTATCGGTCTTGTTCTATGGAGTAGAGGCATGGACCACAACGGAAGCCACCCTGAAGAAACTAGAATCCTTTGAGCTGTGGATATATCGCCGTATTCTTCGGATATCCTGAACAGACCACATTACTAACGTGGAAGTAATGCAGAGAATAGGAAAAAGCAAATAAATAATCTTCACCGTAAAGAAACGGAAGCTTGAGTACTTCGGACATGTCATGAGGCATACTAAGTACCGGCTGCTACAGTTAATAGTCCAAGGAAGAATCGACAGTAGGAGGGGACCGGGAAGAAGACGACACTCATGGATGCATAACCTGCGACAATGGTTCGGACTAACATCGACCGAACTGTTCAGAGGTGCCGTAAACAAAGTCAAAATAGCCTTGTTAATAGCCAACGTCCGAAACGGATAGGGCAAAGGAAGGAAGAAATCAATGGAAGCAAATGGAAGAGGCCTATGTCCAACAGTGGACAAATCCAGGCTAAAGAAGAAGAAGAAGAAGTTCTATTCTGGTCATTATATATTTATTTTAAACAAGTTAAACTTAGAAACTGTATATGAAAAATAACTAACAAAATACAGATAGTGAATAAAAAGTAAAAAAAAAATTAAAATAGTATCTCACAATAAAAGATGAAGTAAAATAAACGTCTAGATGTAAAAAAATAAAAGATCGATAATGGAATTCGATTCGTAATGATACTCCAATGGTCAACATTTATTTTATATCATACTAGTGTTTTTATTGTTTAGTTACCAATTACGTAATAAGGACTTTATGCCCGCACGGGCATAAAGTATACTTTATGGCCCGCACGAGCGTATGATTACACGGACAATAGAATGTCTACTAGTAAATATACATTGCCATAACATACAGAAATTGATTGCAAGGAGTAAAAATGTACCCTGTAACAGCTATCGGATCTGATCACAATTCCGTAATAGGAAAATTGAAAATTAAGCTTAAGAAAATTAAAAGAAAATCCATAAAGAAAATTGATATAAACAGCTTAAAACAACCTTAAAAAGTTAAACTAAAAGTCGCGGAAGAATTAAATGAGGCAATAGCGGATATCACTGCAAGATCTAAACAACCAGTATACAAGACAAATGAAATTGTATTAAAAAAGCTCTCGTAACCACAACCAAGTCTCTGATCGCTTCACAAAAGTACAAAAAGAAGAATTGGATGACTGACAATATATTATCAATGATGGATGACCGCAGATCATTTAAAAACAAATACAGAACCTAACATCAGCAGATTAGCCGACAAATACGAAAAGAGTGTCACAAGAAATGGAGAAATTGGAAGAAAAACATGATCACTTCAACATACATAAACTCGTTGAATAAGTGACAGGTCATACAAAACCTTGCAGTTTTAACTGTATTGTGAAGGACAATAAATTAATTACTGATTCCAAAGATTTACTTCAACATTGGAGAAACTACACACAGCAACTATACTCAGACAACACTAGAAGAAACTCTGAAAGTGAATATTTATAAAGGTTAACCCTCTCCCAAAATATTGAAGTCAGAAGTTGTAAGGGCAATCAAACCGAGCAAATGGGGAAAAGCACCAGGCCCAGACGACATATGCATAGAGGTTCTAACAATGTTGAGTGAAGACAATATAGACGCCTTGGTAGATCTTTTTAATGACATTTATGGGTCCGGGCAAATACCACAGGATTGGTTTCAATCAACCTTTATACCAATCCGAAAAAAGCCAAACGCTAATAGTTGCGACCAATTCCGCATGATCAGCTTATTGCGCCAGGTCCTTAAATTCTCCTTAAAGATAATTCACACAAGAATATACAACTGATGTGAAAGAGACATTAGCCCCACACAGTTCGGTTTCAGACAAGGATTTGGCACAAGAGAGGCACTTTATAACTTAACTGGCCTACTTCAGAAATGCAGAGATCAGTAAAAACATGTCTTTCTTTACTTTGTAGATTACCAGAAAGCGTTCGATTATGTTAATCATTCAGAATTAGTAAGATTGCTCCAGGAACGTTCGATAGATGAGAATGAGCTTAAAATCATAAAAAACCTTTATATGAATCAAGTCGCATCTGTGCAAGTTGGAATGGAATCTACATTATATTTTTCAATCGAAAAAGGTGTACGACAGGATTGTGTTTTTTTCACCCCAGTAATTTAAAACAGACAGAACTTCATTGAATTTTGTAACCAGTGCTTCTTTCAGGCTGTGGGATATCTTAAATAACGCCTGGGCCCAGGCCATAGACATTCTATTATTATTTTTTATAGTTGACTGTGAAATGTGTTTGGCATCTTTGGCACATTGGTAGCGGTTCTTTGGAGATTATGTAGCCGTGCGTAAGTCGTGTATGCCCAAGCCGGTGTCTGCTGATAATTACCTGGTCTTTTCGATTTGGTCGCATAGGAAGATTTTTTGAAATTTTGTTAGGTTTGATGCTTTTAAGATTTGTGTTTGTTTAATTCCATATCTCTTGCTAGATTTTATTTACGTGAATCTTGAATAAAGTTTTAGGATCTGATATTAGTATACCTGTTCTAGTCGGAATAAAACCTCTTTATTTAGGTTGAATTGTGCTTGTTTTGCCTTTTTTTTAGCTCTTTTCGTTCTTAGTAGTATTCATTGTACATTTGTAAATAGCATTGTTATTGTATTTGCCATTTTTGTATGTAATATGTGGATTAAGATACCAATTTTCAGTGTCTCTGTGTTTTAATATGATTCTGTAATTTATAGGGATTAGAATATTTTTACTGATAATATAAAACATTATATTTTAGCTTTGCAGTCCATTAACTTTTAGTGAGTCTATATTACCTGTAGCATTGCCCAGAAGTACTGACAAAGTTCCTGTTCAAAAAATGGGCATAGTAAGTGGATGGGGCTTCCAAGCTGTAAGTATAGGCATTTTTTTCTTAAATAAATCCGTTTACCCCAATTTTTTCATGGTCTCGTTATATTATATTATATTATATTATATATATACGGTAGACTCCCTCTATAACGAGAACTAAAATGGCAGACTAATTACCTCGTTATAAGCCGATCTCGTTATATCCAACAACAATAATACTGTGCATACATATGAATATTGTAGTTTTCTAAAAGAAAAGTTGTTTACTTTTAATGTCAATGATATACGCTAAAACAAAAAATCGGTATTCTTTAAATCTGTATAAAGCATATTTTCAAGGATAACATAAACTATTGCTTCTGCAATTGGAAGAAGGCTGTCATGACTGCTTTAATTTTTCCATCTATCATATTTTATAAAGATGTGAAACAGTTTTATGCTTCTTTATTTGCGTTTTGTCTTTGGATAAAGTTTCTGACACACACACACACACACACATACACACACACACACACATAGGTTCATCCCAACCCCTAGGAACATGAGTGTACCACTGCTAGTCAGTGGGACCCCCATGTCCGAAGATCGGACCGGTTTCGTTCCAAAAGAACAAGTCATTTTGGCTAGGTACCTATCTGACCACCAGGTTTTTCCACCACCCCTCCTCTTCTTCTGACATACACAGAGGAGGCTATGAACTATTACGTCGGGCGATTTTGGGAAAGGAAAACACCCTCCGTTTTCCTTGACTTGTGGTTAGGCCACCTGACTGTAGAAGTAGCTAAATGTAGCTTTTCTCCCTATTAACTTTACTGAGTTTAATTATTGTATGACTTGGGCTCTGTGTCCCTGAAGATGTGTGTCTGATCAGGGGGTCGGCAGCAGGCTGCCGGCTCTCTGTTCGGAAGTTGTGTGCTCGATCAGACAGTCGCCAAATTGGCAAAACAAGTTTTGGTCTCCTTGCCGCCTGAGTGATTGATAGGTCTGGCCATAGAGCCCGTATTTGTCGCACACGGCCTCGATGCTCAGGTTTCGCGGTTGCCTCTAGGGAAGTTTGGTCCTGAAGGGCTGTCGTCTGAAGGGTCTTTGCCTGATGGGCGTGCCTGAGTCCTTTTTTTTAATAGTTGTTTATTTAACTTTACTTCACTTTTAATAGTTTGTTAGTTAGTGTAGGTTTTGGGTGAAAATAATAGGGGTGGGGTTTAAGGGTGGGTGGGTGGTATGTGCCAAGTGTATAATGCTCTCACACACCCCGTGTATATGTTTTTTTGGTTTTTTGGGTTTTTGTTTAAGTTTAATTGGTTAGTAAAAATAAAAATAACTAAAATATGAAAAATGGGGGGTGGGTTGGGAGCTTGGGGTAGTTTTTTTTGGTGAGCATGTGCTCGTTTTTGGTTTTTTGATTTTTTTGTGTTTTGTGTTTGTTTGGGTCAAACTGTTAAGCAATCAGGGAGTTTTCTATGCGAATAACTTTACTTTGCTTATACTTTGCTTATTATCAAGGTTGCCTTGATAAAGTCAACCTTGATAAAGTTTCTGACAACCTTTAAATTACTATCTACATCTTGTCTATTAGGACCTATATTATTAGGTGCGAATGGTCAACCCCCTACAATGATACTTGTGAATCATAAATTGTAAATTTCCGACTAAGAATCATAAATTGTAAGAAGTTTATTGCGGGGGCAATTATAAATTTATAGCTACAGCCTGACCAAAATGTAAAAAACACGTTTTTTAATCTTATTTTTTCTCGTTATAACCAAATTTGCTCGCTATTCTTCTTCTTCTTTCAGTTTCCTGTACGATTATCGAACGTTGGCGATCACATTGGCAATAATAACCTTATTCACGGCGGCTCTAAATAAATTAAAGGTGGTTTCTTGATACCATTCTCGGAGATTTCGTAGCCAGGATGTTCTTCGTCGGCCTGGGCCTCTCCTTTCGTTGATCTTACCCTGTATTATGAGGTGTAGAAGGTTATACCTCTCTGGATGTCTCATTACATGACCGAAATATTGTAACTTCCGAATTTTTATCGTTTTTGTTATGTTTGTGCTCTTTTTCATTCGATGTAAAACTATTTTTCTCGCTATAGAGGACTATATTTCAATAGAAATTTGTATTTTAATGTCATTTTTTTATTATTAACAAAATTATGAGCACATTAGATTAAAAAATCAGTTAACACATTGGTAAGTAGATCATTAATATTGATATAGAAAAGGCAGTTAGGATTTGATTTAATGTCTTTACTATTCGCCTACATTTCGTCTCAGCTGGACTTAGCGACTGGGTAGAAGCCCTAAATGCGATATCAAATCTTTTTTGTCATAGAAAGTAATAATAAAATAACTTCATACAGACGCATAAAGCAACATCTGAGAATAAATAATGCATCGTCTGATTACTTTGGAAATTGTATAAGACCCAGAATAAGGTAAAAATCTCAGTTTTGGTTTGGAACACCTAGAAATCTTCGGATTTCTTCTGTTTGTTTAATTAATATTGAATATCGATTATCTGTAATATACTCAGCTTCGCTTACGTGTATTCGGTGTGATATGTTGAGATGCTAAATAAAAATGATGAGATAGCGATAAAGCAGCATTAATGGTATATTTTCTGTTTTATTTTACCCATTACTCTGTTATTACATTATTTAGGATACATATTTTCAGGAAGAAGGTGAAGTATCATCTGTGCTTCAAATGGTAGAAGTTCCTATTATAACAAACAGCAAATGTCAATCTCTGTATATGGAAGAAATAGTAACCAATGGTATGTTATGTGCGGGATATCTAGGAGCTGGAGGAAAAGATGCATGTCAGGTAACAAAATCTTGATATGGTTGGTCAATCATTATAATAGCTTTTGTCTGCACTTGATACGCTCTCTCTCCAACAAAGTGTTTTTGCATAAGAAACAAATTAAGTTAGCCACGATAACGTTCTGTTTAGATATCGATACATCGAATGGCTGAACTTTATAATTGACTAACTTTTAATTTGAGTGGTAGTAGGATGTATAATTAACAAACATAAAGATCCTGAAAAAAGTTGACACTTAGGTACTTTGTTTCGGAACTATGTGACTTTTATGTTAATATTATTTAAATATGTAAACAAGTGAGCTTTCCTATATATTTAACTTTGTTTCTATAAGAAACCATTTTGTCATTTAGTTCCTTACTTTACGTGTCCAGTTAAGAAATCTAGAAAAATTTTTGCCAATTTAGAAAAGAACAGCCTAAATGGCCGTATTAGTTGCGTTTAGAGTAGAGGATGGTGTTTAATGCAAGGTTTTTCCAACAAAGGACAGAGAGCAACAGAGTCTCGTTATTAGCATCAAGCCATAAACAGGAATGAACCTATGACTTTAAATATTAATTTTAGCAAAAAAAATTTTTTTTATTGAGTTTAATGCGTCGACAACTAATGGTCATTGGCATAGTACAGTGAATTTTTACAGTCAGGTACCTAGTGTAGTGTGTGTGTGTGTAGAGTAATTGTCTTGATACTTAGCAAAGTCGACGTCATTGTCTTTGCTATAGTTTATTTTTATGAACGAGAGAGTAATTAGCATAATTTTAACTGGTATCTCCGACCACTCCATGGGCGTGCTCAAGATAAATTGAAAAATTACTTTGAATAATTGTAAAAAATAAATGAATTATTTCAGTGTTATAAAGTGTTATGTGTATGTAAACAAAAGTGACCTCTTTTATCACACACTATATTAGAACTGACTGGCCTACATTAAAAAGGGTTTTAAAAAATTCACATTTTTTTTTTATTTTTAAAAATTACAAAAGAGAAAAAGACTTTTTAAAACCGTCTAAGGTATGTTAAATAGATGAATAAAAATATTAATATAAAACTTACAGCTACTTGTTACAAATCCAAATCAGATTCAGAAGATGAACTTTCAGAAACAAGATTTATAATAACTGGCTCGATCATTTTATCAGTAATATTGTCCAGCTTCCACATTTTTTCCTCTTCTTTAATAGTGTGATTTACTGCCTTTTCCCAGTTTTCAGATTTTACATTATTTACGGCCTCCAAAAACAACTGTTTAACATCATGAATTTTAAAAGTGGTATTTTTTCTTGAAACTTCACTCTTTATCTGTGCCCATACCAGTTCAATCGGGTTTAATTCATAATGATGTGGTGAGGATCTAAGTACTGTCATTCCACGATTTTTGGCAATTTCGTCAATTTCGTATTTTTTAAATTTTTCTTTATGAAGGGCACACAACGAATAAAGTTCCTTTCTTATAGATCCGGGATGGTACGTAATATTTTTTGAACTCAGCCAATTCTGCAAGTCTTTTTTTAACCACTTGGTTGTGGGCAGTTCTTCTATAAGTCCGGAGTGATAACTTGCATTATCCATTACTATTACACAGTTCTTAGGAAGAAGATCTATCATTTGTTCGAACCATTCTTGAAAGACATCAGCGTTCATGACTTCATGGTAGTCACCGGTACGAGTTGATTCAAAAGTTAATAAACCACCTTCAACAAAACCGTCTGAACTGCCAATGTGTACTATTATCAGCCTGCGTTCCTTTCCTGATGATGGGTTTAAACCAGTAGATCAGTTATTTACAAAAGCGTGGCTTTGACTTGTAACAGTTTCATCCTGCCAAAATTTATTTGGTGTATGACCCTCGTTGATCCATGTTTCATCAAGATAAAATATTTTTCTTTTTTGGTTTCTCATTTCCTTTATGGTTCTTAGAAAATGTCTTTTCCATATGACAATATCGCTTCTTTCTAATAAAATAGACTTTCTGGGATTCTTTTTCCAGCGGAAGCCTATTTCTTTTAAAAGTTTACATAACGTACTTCGACTCATTTCTGGGTAATCCTTATCATCTCGAACTGAGACAAGAACTTTATCCAATGTTGGAAATTCTTGTCTAAAGAAGAATTCATGCACTTTCCGTCGAAGTCCTTCTTTAAAATGATATTCTATTTGAAATTTTGGTTTCCCTGGAGCATTACGTGGCATTTGAAAACTACCACATTTCTCTTCTTTAATAACTCTGTAAATCGTAGATTTCCCAACACCAAGTGTACTGCTAACTAACTCAACGGTCTCATCAACACTTTCACATAAACGTTTGTCTGTAAATGATTTAAAACAATTAAATATTAATGTTTTTTCATTAACTGGCACGGCACTTCCAAATTTTTCATAACACTAGTATACACAATAAACTGCACCTTGCAACTGAAGTACCTACTTTTAGTGAACTGTTAAGAATTTTGAATACGCCACTTGGACCTTCCTACAAAATGGAAAAACCCACTATCAAATTTTCTGTGGAATAAGTTTAGAAGGTAATTATCTAGTCAATTACTGTCGTAGATTCCTGGAATTAAAGAATTAAATGTTTGATTGTTGAAACCCTTACTTCGTGGAATGCACTCATTTCAGATAAAATAAAACGTTTTATTTTATCTAAAGAATTAAACTTTATTTTGCAAATAGGTAGGTACTTATTAAACTTTTATTGGTTATATATAACCAATAAAATAAACATCTTACATTTCTTGCAAATTCATTAGTACCTGTTAACCTCCATCACTCCGACACTGGCAACCTTATTTAGGGATTAGTAACCCTCAAAACTATTGTATTCTATTCTGCTTTCACCTTTATACCTGGTGGTCATACTCAATTTAAAATTGTTTTCCTATATACTTCTGTAAACTTGTTGATAAATATCTGTTTTTCATTGAGTCACCCGTATCAACAGTTTAGGGATTTGCATACATAATTTATTGTTTTATTACTCTCTCATACATAAAAATACACTATAAGAGACGTTAATTGTATCCGAACGTCTGCGGTCCCTCCGGTGAGTACCGATCGCACAAGGATAGAAATTATTTTCATTCATTAATTTTTAATAAACGAAAATTTCTCCACCCAGGTGAGATTCGAACATTTTTTTTTTTTTTCGATTCTCCGAATGTCAATATAGATTTATTATTAAAATAGCTGTTTTAATATAATTCTTATCATTTTAGGGAGATTCTGGTGGACCCTTTAGAGTAAACGGAAAATTGTTCGGAATAGTCTCCTGGGGATATGGATGTGCCCAGCCTTTTTACCCAGGAGTGTATACCAACGTTGCCGTCTATAGAAACTGGATAAAATCCATTACAAAGTACTGAATGACTTTTTAGTAAACCTGTTTTGACAAACGATCATAATGAATATGTACAATTTTTGATATTGATATTAAACTAATAAAATGATTGTGTTATGATTTAAAATAGATTTAAAATAGATTTAAAATAGATATATATTTAAAGTATTAAATATATATCTTGTTTACTTTAGTAAAGTATTATTGTTATATCAGGAAAGATTAAGGTAAGAAAATAAAAATGAATCTTTCCAAATTAAATCTATATAGAATAAAATATTCCAGTGCAATCTTAGTGTGATACATTATTTTATATCTACATTAACTGAATATAACAAGTTACTGTATACTTATAAAAATCACAAAACTGAGGAAAAAACCAGACCATAAGTATTCATATAGGGAGAAAATGTTTAACTAAAAACAACATAGAAGAGCTAGAAGAGACAAAAATAGAATGATCTATGGAAAGACAAAAACAACTTTCATTCAGAAATCGAAGGTGAAAAACAAAAATTAAAAGTACTTTGTATTTTACAATGTCTTCCTGAGTGTTTATACAAATACGAATTTGCCCGATATGTCCATTACCAGCAACAGGTTTATCCCTTTTCACTGGTGCCTATTTTTAACGTACCCTTGGCCCATATCTGGGCTTCGTGATTTTGGGTTGGCGGATATTAGTACGAATTAGTTCTTCACGATGGAAGGCCGAAATTTTCTTTAAAAATTTAAGTATGTTTTTTATAGTAAAGAAGCTTGTTTTTTTTAACCAGTGTATTACATTTAATATTAGTTTAGCCAAATAATTGCAGTGTTTTCTTGTTAAATTTTAACATACTTTTGTTAGAAAATTAACTTTCGATTTCCACATACAAAAAGGTGTCAGACAGGGTTGTATACTATCCCCACTGTTATTTAGTTTATATTCAGATAGAATATTTAAAGAAGCGCTGCATAATTTGGAATGGGGCGTGAAAGTTAATGGTATTTTGATAAATACAATCAGATATGCAGACGATACAGTTATTTTAAGTGACGATATGAATGGATTACAATGCCTTTTAAATGCCATTGATACAGTGGGAAGAGATTTTGGCCTAAACATAAACTGTGCAAAAACAAAACACATGGTGTTTAGCCGTTTAGCACATCAAGATGCACGATTATATGTTGATGGTCATATAATTCAAAGAGAGTCCAGTTTTAAATATCTTGGTTGCCATATTACTGAACAACTAGAACTAGATCAAGAGATAAAATGTAGAATCGAGATAGCCCGCACGACATTTTTAAAAATGAGGTCATTCTTCTGTAATGATAACTTGCAACTTCAACTTCGAAAGCGCATGGTTAAATGCTACATTTGGTCAGTCCTCTTATACGGTGTCGAAGCATGGACATTAAAAATATTCACCATTAATCGTCTGGAGGCTTTGAAATGTGGCTGCACAGACGTATACTAAAATTCCATGCACGGCTATGCTGACAAATGTGGCAGTCCTTGAGAGAGCAAATGCTGCTCGCGAGCTGCTTGATAACATCAAATGTAAAAAGATGGCCTATTTTGGACACGTAGTAAGGGGAGACCGATATAATATTCTTCAACTTATTATGATGAGTAAAATCGAAGGACGCAGAGGTATTGGTAGAAAGCAGGCCTCTTGGTTGAAGGATACCAGGGAGTGGACAGGAATAAAGAAAGCTGAGCAACTATTTAGAATAGCTTAAGACTGAGACAGTTTCGCCATGTTAATCGCCAATGTCAAGGGGACTTGATAGGGCACGTTAAGAAGAAGATTTCCACTTACACATTTGTGCAGGTTGGGATTAACTATATTTTTTTTAATTTTTATTTTTATTTCTTGGACAAGCAAAAAGATGCCGATGAACTTATTATGGTGATAAATGAAGACTCAGAGGTAGAAGGTTTAAGCGACGATTCGGATGCTGACCCTACATGGTAGACAGTGGCTCAGGAACCCACTAGAGTGCTGGCAGAGAGCGATGATGCACAGATGGAAGCCCCCTGGAAAAAGAAAAAGAGAAAAAGAGGTAGACCTCGACGCTCATGAAATGAAGGAATTAAAAGAGCGATGCATTAGAGAGTTTTGGAGGAGGAGCATGCCTTGGACCGAGAGGATTGGCGGAGGCGAACTGGAATACGGCGATGGCCGTCTCCAAACCTATATACCTCCAAAATACGCTAATACCCTAACCCTAAATACCCTACCACAAATTTCATAAATATATCTCTCAAATAAGTATAAAAAACTTTTAATAATATAATGGTATATTACATCACTTTCATTTAACAAACAATCACACACATATCTCTGATTCATTGGATCAATTCTATCCCCTCAAGAACTTCCCGTTAACTGTCAAACAACTACAATAGCAGAATTGAGTTCTCCATTCAACAATACATAGTAGTTTCAACCATGTTCTACCATCCATCAATTAATAGAGTACCGGCATTTAAGTAATGTTTATTTATTTGCTCATTTATTAATTTATTACAATCTAATAGACTATTTTATAACAATTTGTTGCCTTACCTTGTCTGTTTAAACTTTTAAAACTTTTTATACCTTTTTATTCAACTTACTCATTTTGAAATAAAACCACAGACATGTAATATTGGCATAATTATTGTAATTTACAACATCTACTTTGTTTATCTTTATTAGACAACACCCTAATATGGGTCTTATCATTTCAGCATTTATTTAACTTTGTATCGAGGCCTGAAGATGCTTTGCATATTGTAGAAAGCGAAACCGGTCGCCTGATTGTTAAATTAAATTGATTGTGAGTAAGTCTTATTTATTATTTCTTTACCTATAAGAATATAAATTTTCGTTGAGTCACCGTGTATAACAAAAATATTTATGCTTTTTAATACAATAATTTTGTTACAATTTATTCCAGAGTGTTTAAACAAATACGACCCACTCCGATATGTCCATTCGTCACCTGAGAATTATGTTGAACCAAGTAAACTTTTTTGAAAATGTGAGATTTAATCACAACACACTTTAGGTATTAAAATGTACCATGTCCAGCTCTCAGATGTACTCAATAAAGCTCTTTCATTGACAAAATCGAACAATTATATTAAACCAAGTCCCAAAGTGTACTACTTTTGAAAATTATTCTGTATCAAGTCCACAGCCAATAATAAAGGGCTATTTTAACACGTGTCATAGGACATGGTACACAATAATAATAATCGAATATCGCATTCCAGCATGATTCCAACGTATTTAAACAAAACAACGAACGTGTTCGTTAGTGAATGTTTTAATCTACATTTTAAAGGTGTTTAAAGGTTTTAAAAATTGTGAAAAACAGTTCTTAATATGAATCCATCACAATTGACGTAAGTATAATGATTAAATAGTAGTTGTTAGTGTTGTTTGATTTTAGAAATGATGTTGATTGAGTATTAAAAATACAACATAACCTTTATTTTATAGTCTACTTGAAGAGTTAAGTGATCTAAGCGATATAGAGGATCCAACTTATAGGCCAGACGTTGATAAACTTCTGTTTAATTTGGATCAGCACATTCATGACGATGACATGATGTCAGATAATGTGTTACAGGATGATACTGCAGATGCCGAAAGCAATCAGAGGTAAGTGTTTTTTGTATTTTTGAGGGAAACGAGTTTAGTTAGCACAAGTCACACACATTATTACACATTCGATAAGTAATAGTGTGTTTTTGTTATAGTGCGGAGCCTAACAGAATAAATAAAGAGCGTTCTCGAAAGCGAAAAAAGGATATTAATGAATGGAAACAAAATGTAAGAAAAAGGCGTAGACAAGCTGGGTTGGATTATATTAATACCAAAGGAGAACCTGTGGAAATGAAATCAGTGAAGGGACAGTGTGATTGTCGTTTAAAATGTAAACTTAAAATAAGCATTGAAGACCAGACATCTATACATAAACATTTTTGGCAACTAGAAGACCAAGAGAAATCACATTTTTACAGTAAGTTTGTACAAAAAACTGAAAAAAATAGAAGCAGACCGAGAGTTTTTCCACAGCCACAGTCAAAAGACGCCTACAAAAAGTATACTCTGAAATATTTTTTCGAATTAAATAATAACAGAGTACAAGTTTGCAAAACTTTTTTTTAAATACCCTGCATATTAGCTCTCGGCGGATTTCCTATTTTTTTGAAAATAAGTACCAAATAACAGGCACACCGAAAAGCAACGTACATGGAAAACATATGAAAAGAGTAACCAGTGGGGATCAAATTAACAAAATTAAAGAGCATATTAATTCGTTTCCGAGAATGGAAAGTCATTACTGCCGAGCAAATACAAGTAAAGAATATTTAGAACAAGATTTAACCCTACAAAAAATGTTTGACCTCTATAAGGAAAAACACCCCGATTCTGAGATCAAAATAAATGTATATCGAAATGTTTTTAATACATCTTTCAACATTTCGTTCTTTAAACCTAAAAAAGATAGATGTGATTTCTGCGAAGAAATAAAAAATTCTACTGATGTGACAGATAAAAGGCGTGAAGAATTCCAGAACCATGTGAAAGGAAAAGAAGAAAGCAAAATGGAAAAGAACCGGGATAGGGAAACAGTAGAAGAAAACACTGCGTTTATATCATTTGATTTGCAGAATGTGTATTCACTACCAAAAGCAAATGTATCAAATTTTTTTTATAAACGTAAATTCAGTGTTTACAACTTAACGGGATATTGTTCAAAGAATAAGAAGACATACTGCGGAGTATGGCATGAAATGATATCCGAAAGAACTGGAAATCACATTTGCAGTAGTCTTCTAAAAATTTTGGATCAAATTGTGTCAGATTTCCCTGAGTTAACAAAATTGGTAATTTGGTCGGATTACTGTATCCCCCAAAATAGGAATAGCATCATGACTTTTGGATTACAGCATTTCATCAAGAAACATCCTCAAATACAGTTGATCCAACAAAAATTTTCAGAGCCCGGGCACAGCAATGTACAGGAAGTAGATGCTGTACATAGCTTGCTTGAGAGAAAAATGCGCTATTCAGAATTATACAGTCCAGTGTCTTTGCTCAGAACCCTAGTGCAGATTGCAAGTCATTCAAAAAAAATTATTGTATTGCAAATGAAGCCGACAGATTTTTTAAATTTTCAGATACTGGCAAAGAAATTAGGATACAGTAAAATCCCATACACAAAAGTTAAATTTATTGAAGTTGATTCTAGTATGTATGTTAGCTATAAAACTTCCTTTACGGGCAATCTGAGCAAAGTAAGAGTGGATGGAACTACTAGAAATCAGCGGACCCATCCCGATAGAAGCAGTAATAATACTCTTGAATACATGGTTAATGTAAAGCAGATCACCCAACAGCCATCACTGGAAGCGAAGAAGAAGGCCGACATCATCTCAATGTTAAAGTATATGCCACAGGTGGATAAACAATTCTATGAACTGTACATTCGTTAAAAGTCTGTATTATCAGTATTATCAGTATTAGTCATGTGGACATGGTTTAATAATTTTGATTGCAGATAAATTTGTAAAAAAAACTGGAAATCATCTTAAACCATGTCCATCTTTCAAAAGTCAAATTACATATTTTTTTCCTGGAAAATACAAGCACATTATTATTTACCCGTAACAACATCCTACAAAACATTGTAAACAATTGTAGTCCCTTACACGAAATAAAGAAAAGTACATAAACCTTCTAATTCAAATTCTACGCATTTAACATTTTGGGACATGGTTCAACATAATTCTCAGGTGACGCATTGGCAACAACAGTTTTATAGAAATCGCTGACAATGAGAAAAATAAACATTATAATTTATGATTTAAGATTACATTTTTTGTCTTTCGGCTAAAAGACAAAGACAAGTGAATCCTAACCTGTAGGTTAACCAGTATAATAGCTGTCAGCTCTAAAGATAGAAAATGTCAAATTTTAACTTAAGTGAATTTTGAGTAAAATATACCAGTTGAAAAATTACAAGAGTGCGTTGGTAAAGTTCCTCAGTAGGAGTTACATCAAAGGCTCTGTAAGTCAGATTATATTACATCAATAATTATCGGTAATAACAAAAATATTCATTTGAAAACAAAACTACAACCACCGAATATGTCAAGTACAAACAAGAATTTCTTAAACAGGCCATTCACATTCTGATTTTAGTCCGACTAGTGGTCCCATTTCCGCAGTTGGATCTGAAATCGGATCGTAAGTGGGTTGGTTGGATTAGTTGGACAACCAGTGGTGGTACAAGTCGGAACATCTAGACGGGCGACTTGAAGCTCCGACTTCTGACTGACGACGAAGTGAAAGCGTGAATGGTGAAGTTGGAAGTTGGATCACAGGTCGGATCGAAAATTTCCTGTCAGTTACTATACGAAAATATTCCTAGTTCGCTAATATCTAATAGAAAATAAAAGTTCAATTGCACGAAAATTATCTTTAATAAAATACACGATTCTTCATCATTATCTACTGTTTGTTAGGGCAAATAATTATCCGTTCTGTAGATCTATTTCGGACACTCCCATACAACTATAATTTCCAACACTCCAGATTGGCTACAGAAGAATTATCAACAAACAACGAAAATTAAATCATAGTTGTACTAAAATTAGAAGTAACTATTTCTTTATATTGTTCTGAAGTCAGTTTCCTGCGGCATCTTATGCAAATTAACTATTTTAATTGGAAATAAGCCTGAATATTAGTTAGAAATTAAATTTGTTCGACTTCAACTTCGGAATGTTTTGATAACGATTTCCTAAGTGGAAGTCCAAATGTCAAATACATTTAATTTCTTACTTTTATTGTGGCTTATTCCCGATTTAAATAGTAAATTTACTACAAGATCACTTTGTAACTGATCTTTCCTTCCTGAATTCGGTTTGTTTACAACATCAGCTCCAAACAAAATCTTAATTGGTGATGTCTATCCGACCACGCTGAGCAAAGATTCCTAGTTTGCAAATAAATAATAGAAAACAACTTTCAATTGCACGAAAAATTATTATAGCCCTGCAAGTTTCTGGTATCACTTTTCCCAATAGTTGTGGAGATATTTTACAGCTGAACTTCACATCCTCAAATGACCTTCTAGTTGCCAGAAAGCGTAAAGTTGCTACAAGGCGTTGTTCATTACTGACACATTCACGCATGACGGTATCTTTTCTTGGTAACAAGTAGACCAATTTTTCCAGCAACAGCGAAGTTGTCCATTCTTAGGTAGTTTTTGTGTAATTATCCTCATCAATGACATTGAGCAATTTCGTGTCACAATAGTTCACACGATCGACAAATAATTTCTTTATCCAATATTTTTTCTTTTCTTTTATGATAAGGATAACAAGCACAATGCTGCTATTTTCCTCCCCCCAATTATATTTTGCGTAGTGTTAACTTGATACATTACATTTTTTGGTTAAGTGATGTACAACGTCATGAAACCAAACTAGAACTGAAGTTGGACCGCTAGTTGGATAGCAAGACGAGGCTAAGTGGAGACCAATATTCAAATAGTATTCCTACTAAGTGTGACCGCAGGTCGAAGGAATGCCCAGCTTTATCTTTTTTTTTGTTTTATACCGGTTTAATTGCATTGTTATAGTTTTGATACAGGACCGCATTCAGATCTTATGTCTAGTTTTACTGTTAATTTAAATGAATTCCGCATTAGCTTAAAAAATGAGCTCTATTTTACCATCAGAACCTCAAAATAAAATACGTATCAGTAACCAAAACTCTTATTTGTCCATTCATAAAGCAGCTATTGTATTTAGTTAATTTAAAAATGTAAAATTAGAAGATTACTTTGTGGGATTACAAAACGAGCTTGACGAGTAAACAGTGTTTCCGATTAGCTCTTAGTTTTTATCAAAATTAAGGTGGTTTTACTTGTTAGAAAATTATTAAAGTTGGTATAATAGTGTATTATATAGTGCTTAATCCAATTTTGGGATCAAACTGTAAGTTAGACCATCTTTATTATTATTTTTTAATCAATAAGCAGTAAACAACGGTTATAAATACCAGTAGCGAGGTAATTAAGTAGCTTAATTACTTATTACTTATGAACCTGTCCAAGCACCAGGGCCGTAATCAGGCAACATAGGCCCAATATGCAGGAAATTTCAGAGGAAAGAACTTCTGAACTTCAAAATTCTCAAGATGTCATTAATCCATCCAATCAATCAAAATTATATTCAACCGCTCTGACTACACCTAACAAAAAATTCCCAAGCAAAAACCAAGCCATTTTGTTCAATTCACTTCCAAATACCAAAATTGAAGATTATTTAAATGCCATAGCAACTAAGGTCGATCCCAATAAAATTCTCGCCATTTCCAGGATTGCAAATGATCGTATTTGTACTACTGAAGAGACAGTCACCGAATTTTTAGGAAGAGATAATGGAACCATACTAATCAATCAGGAACGTATCCAAGCCAGGAAGTTAATCACACCAAGCGAAAAACTGATAATTTCTAATATCCACCCTTCAATACCTCACAGTATTATAGAGACTGAACTACAAAATATTGGAATTCATCAAATAACTCCATTGGATTTTCTAAGAATAGCAACAACTAATTCTTTATTTAAGCATATCTTGAGTTTCCGACGTTATACTTACATTACTCCTAAAAATCTAGAAAATATTCCTGAGTCTATATTAATTAACTACGAACAAATCAATTATCGAATATATTTTTCACTTGAAAAACAGTCATGCTACATTTGCAAACAACAAGGTCATCTAGCCTCTCAATGCACAAAAAATACGAACACTCAAACATCTATCGAAAACTCATCACCTACTTCTCAACCAAATTATATCCAAAATTGTCACCCCAACATAACAGATGCACAGCAAACTATCCATCATTCACAATCTTTACAACAATCTACCAGTTCACAATCAACAGAAACAACCAATACTTCTCTATTAGATTCAAATCCTATTTAAACACCTATCCAACCAGATAACGTTGAAATGAATATTCACAGCCAAAATCAACCTCCTACGTCCTCTGACACTCAATCGTCTAAACGAACGGTATCAGAAATAACGTCTCCTCCAACATCAGTAGACCAGAACCCATTTAAAGAACCTCTCCGTAAATCTAGGAAAGCAAAAACTGTTCCTGAAGTTAATAAGGATTTAGCAGAAGATCTTACTAAATGCACTAGTTCTTTTTTCCAAGATAATTCTGATAACGGATATCTAACCCAGGAAGAATTAATTGATTTCTTCGAAAACGCACACGGCTCTGCTGATCCTCTCAGCATTGCTAAAACGTATACAGAAGATATCGAAGGACTACTCAATTTTTTAACTAAAATCCATCCAGCATTAACTCCCAAGTATCTGAAAAGTCGCTGTACAAGAATAAAATCTAAAATTAATAAACAGGTATTATCCTCTTTCTCTACTGATCACAGTGATCACAGCAGCGACGCCTCTGCTGAAATTTAATACAACAACATTCAACTGTATACTTCAATGGAACCTAAATGGGTATTACACCCATTTAGAAGAACTTAAATTAATTATAGCTAAATTTAAACCATCTGTAATATGCCTACAAGAAACCCACTTCAAAGAAGATAACTGTCATAATTTAAGAAACTATACTCCGTATTATAAGAACAGAATAACTGCTAGCCATGCTAGTGGGGGAGTAGTAATATATGTCCATAACTCATTTAATACCAAAGTAATACGTTTAAGAACTGAGTTGGAGGCAACAGCAGTATCTATAAAAGGCCCCCACAAAGTTAATATATGTAATATTTATTTTCCTCCGGACTTAGACCCGTCCATAAATGAAATAACTGATCTCTTTAATCAAATTCCAGAACCGCGTATTATACCAGGTGATTTTAATGCTTACAATATACTTTGGGGAGGCAAAAAAACAGATTCCTTGGGACGTAAAATCGAACAAATTGTTACCGATTCTAATATGAATATCCTTAACGATGGAAGAATCACAAGGTTCAATATTTCCACCGGAAATGGGTCACCAATAGATTTATCCCTTTGTGACTCTGTCTTACAACCAACTCTGTCGTGGGATGTGACATCTCATTTACATGGAAGTGATCATTTTCCTATCCTAATTATAAACAATAACCATATCTCCTCATCAATTCCATCCAATAAATGGTGTTTGAAAAATGCAGATTGGTCTCTTTATTCCTCTTTAATTTCACAAAAAATTTCTCAGTTGGTTCAGCCCTTCGATACAGATATTGATATCAACTCCAAAGTACTCCATTTCGTACAATTTTTAACGTCAATAGCTCACGAGTCCATAGGTTATTCAAAATTTCCAAAAAAACGTGCCCCAGTCCCGTGGTGGAATTCTCATTGCGAGGCAGCCATTAAAGATTCAAAAAAGGCATTTTATAAATTTAGAAGGCACCCAACTTTAAATAACCAGCTTGAAT